TATAAGTAGGCTAGTTCTCTCTTGAGTAGATACTGGCTGCTACAGTACCGAAAGGCGCAGTCAAAAAGAGTTCGAACGCAGCTTTTCTTGTGGGCCTCAGGATGATTGCACCCGTCGTTGAGCATGATTTCGGCACTGGAGTCTTTTCTGTGTACGCCCTGCCATACAATTCAAACGCGAAGAAGTAACAGGGGACATCCTCCCTTTTCTTGACTTCAGTGTAGTAAGACTGAGTGATGGCAATCTCGCAACTAGCGTACACAGAAAAGCCTCGAGTGCAGAAATCATCCTCAACTACGGGAGCAATCATCACGGAATTTGCGGTGATGCCGTGCATTGTTGGGAATTACATCTTTGAGGATTTCCAGCTCGTGTGCCCTAAAGATCGACTTGCAAGTTGACGAAGGCTGCTTAATCATCTGGCGGTATTTGTGAATGCGAGCGTGACAGCCTCGTTTCAGCACTCTGATCATTTATTTCTTGATTCTGCCTACGCCCGTTGGCAAAGGTCCGAGAACACAGGCGGTGTATATCTGAGGCACTTCGGTAGGACGATCTCATTAAGACACCTGTGAAGGAATTTAAGCTGAGCGTAGGTGGATGAATCTCGCTTCACGAAGGTCTCTTATCTGCGTGCTGAGCGTAGGGCAGGGAGGTCCACGCTAATCGGCGGCGAACGGACAGGTCAGAGTTCGTGCCTCGCGAACGGATATAATACCAGGCAGGTACAAAGGCTGACGCAATCAAGACCAGCAGAAACTGCCAACAAATTACTCGGATGATGGAAACGAGAGGGTTTCCGAAACGTCAGTACAAAATTTACTCGATCCTGGAATGTGCCTTATCTTCTTCTTCGTCTTTTTCGGGGGGTTATGAACGCGATACAATATTTGGACCTCGAATGTTTACCCAGATGGATGTATGCAATGGCCGCTCAACTTGCCAGTAGATCTTTACGGCAGACGAGCTGGAAATCCTCAAAGCAGTAATTTTCAACGTTGCACGGCATCACCGCAAATTGTGTGATGACCATGTGTCTGGAAAATTTGAGAAAATAAGTCTGCCAAAGCAACCCTCCACTGACACCGTCTTGGTTTACAACTTTTCCTCCCATCGTTTCACTCAGCAACAACTAGTTCAGCACAAGAGATGCTCGACCAAAAGACTTTATTGCATCCTTCGAATCGGCGCTCCAGAAGTGTGAGGCAGGCGAGGAGTGCAAAAACGTCATGCGAAAACAAGTGTCGACTTTAATCCTCCAACATAAACGCCAGACGACGATTTCTAAGGCAGAAGATCAATAACTACTGAAAATACGAAAACTAGTGGATATCGTCACCCTGCCCGCCGACAAGGGGCGCTCTACTGTCGTCATAGATAAGGCTGAGTACTGCAAAAACTAGGCAACCTCTTAATGAACAAGGAAGCTTATGAGCCATCGACTGTCAGCGAGTTCAAAAAGCTCGTAAACAGCATAACCAAGACGATCGGCAAGCTGAGGAAGGTGAACGCTCTTACTAGAAGGGGAGCGCTGGCCGCAAAAGCCAGTGATGCCGAAATGGCGCGCTTCTACGGCCTAACAAAAATCCACGAGCCGGGAGCGCCGTTACGCCCCATCGTCCCCTTACGTGGTACCCCAATCTTTGGGCTGTCAAAGTGGCTGTACCAGTGACTTTATTTTCTAACCAAGGATTCAGAGTGGACAGTGAAGTTGGCTGAAGAGTTTTTGTCGCACATCAAACGTCTCGAAGTGGAGGCAGATTAGGTGATGGTGCCGTTTGACGTGGTCTCATTGTTCACCTCCATCCCACCCGCGCTGGCTATCGACACTATTGACGGTTTTCTCCAGGAAAAGTATGATGAGACCGATCAACAACTCAAGCGAGTTTACATCATCGAGCTCCTAGAACTATGTCTTAAGACGTTCTTTACATTCAACAGCCAGGTCTACGAGCAAAAGAAGGGGACACCGATGGGCTCGCCTCTATCTGGATTAATTGCCAAAGCAGTTTTGCAGAGGCTTGAGCGGCTGGTCTTCAGCTCGTACCCACCAAAATTCTGGGCCAGATACGTCGACGTCAATTTCGTTACCATCAAAAGGAGCGATGTGCAGACTTTCAAGGCATTGTTGAATTCAATCTTTCCTGACGTCCAGTTTACTATGGAATAAGGGCTCAACAATCAACTGGCCTTCCTTGACGTACAAGTTAGGAAGCTGGAGGACGGGAAGATAAGGACAACGGTCTAACGCAAGGCAACTAACGCCAGGCGAATCCTCCACGTCGAGAGCAACCACCCTGTTGGTCACAAACGCAGTTGTGTCAGGACCCTCTTCCAACGCGTTCAAACATACTGCAGCGACGAAAATGGGAGGAAGGAAGAGATTAAGTACTTGCACTCCCAATTTAAAGCCAACGGTCATCCCACGTCCTTCATACGCAAGTGTCTTAAGAAGCCCAACCCGGAGCGGTCGGACGGAAAAAAAACCCGAAATTTTGGCTCGCAATCCCTTATGTGAAAAACGTATCAGAGACGACGGCAAGAATCCTGAAGCCCTTCGGGATCGGAGTGGCTCACAAGCCAAAGTCAACAATCAGACAACAAATAATGAGGCCCAAAGAGCCGCAACCGGTGACAGAACAGTCAGCGGTGGTCTTAACCGTACCATGCAAAAACTATGATGCAAGGTATGTTGGTGAAACGGGCAAACGTCTTGGCACAGGATTGCATGAGCACCAGTTTGCAGTCAAACACAAGGACAAACTGTCTATGGTTTACGGCCACGTCACACAGCAGAACCGCAATTTCGAGTTTGAAAAGGCAAGGGTAATCGGCCGAGCCAATGATAAGATGGCCAGACTGGTGCTCGAAAGTTGGTCCTCGACTGGCACAGTCAACAGAGCCATAGATCTGCACCCCGCCTATCAGGCGCTACACACAAGGCTCGAGTCAATGCGGACGAGGTCATTGGGACAGTCGATCAAAGTGACGCTTGGCCGACAGCCGATGTCAGCAGAAAGTGGGGGAGAAACCGACCGGGGATCATGTGACCAGCACGGGACGCCACCTCACCGCGACGCCACCGAGGCTGAGATCAACTCACACGAGTCCCAACAACTGATCAGTCCGTTGAGTGACGAGGGAGAGGCCGACAAACATGCTGGCACGCCAACAATTAAGACGGCCGCAAAGGGGACAGTTGTGGCAGGAGACCACCGGGGGTTAATCGTGGAGAGGTCAAAGCTAATCGGCGGCAACGGGCAGGCCGGAGTTCATACCTCGCGCAAGGAAATAATAACAGGCAGGCATCAAGACTGACGCAATCAAGACCAGGAGAAACTGTCAACATATTACTCGGATGATGGAAAAAAGGGTTTCCGAAAAGTCAGTACAAATATAACTCGGGACATATATGTGCCCTATCATCTTCTTCGTCTTCTACGCGGGATGATGAACGTGATACAATATCTGGACCTCGAAACTTTACGCATATATATATATATATATATATATATAGGCAGAATAACATTACCGACAAAGACAAGGGAGACTGGAATGGCCATTTCTGGCTTATTAGCCGTCGTCAGCCAGCCATACCCAAGCCCGAAGTGTGGAAGACCCGAGCCTCGAATTCGCGACCTGTTAGTTTAGAAGTCAACGCCTCTACTCACCGGGCCACGAGCCCGTTGCCTTGTCGGTTTTCGATCGGGAATATACAGTGGTAGGGGGCGCTCACCGATCGTTCATACGGAACTCACTCGTTCCGTTGTGCCTTAAGAGCTCTCTCTCGAGCCCAACCAGCAGCCGCACAGCGGCGCATGATACATAGGCAGAATAACATTACCGACAAAGACAAGGGAGACTGGAATGGCCTATGTATCATGCGCCGCTGTGCGACTGCTGGTTGGGCTCGAGAGAGAGCTCTTATGGCACAACGGAACGAGTGAGTTCCGTATGAACGATCGGTGAGCGCCCCCTACCACTATATATATATATATATATATATATATATATATATATATAAATATATTGCTAATAGAAGCGAAGATTCGAGTCGCCGGACATAAATGAGAAGAAGAGGCGATCTCGGGAACCATGATTGTATTGTCCTGATGTTTCAAAAGCAGACAAGCTTTCATCGTCGGAGGTGAGTATCGTACGGCATCACACAGTATTTATAGGATGGGGATAGATATCAGTCATGCTAACACGGTGGTAATTATAGGGGGAGGAGGTGGTTAATCGGCTTTGGCGCTAATGGCCCGCATACGCACAGGGATCGTCTCTGTAGTCGCCGGGGCAGAGCGGGAGGGAGGGTGACTGCTGTCAATCTGCCTGTCACTCGTCGGAGGGCGCCATTTGTACGTTGGTGACCATCGCCCGCATTCGCGTTGACGTGGTACCGACAAAGACGAGAGAGAACGGAATGGCCATTTCTGGCTTATTAGCCGTTATCAGCCAATCATACCCAACCCCCAGTGTGGATCACTTGAGATTCGAAACCGGGATCTTTGGTCATGGAGTTTGACGTACTAACATTGAGGCACGGGCCCGTTGTCCTGTCGGTTGTGATAGGGAATATCACTTATGACAGATGGGCGCTCAACGATCAATTTACGGAACATGCTCGTTCCGTTGTACCTTGGGGCTCATACTAGAACCCGCGGAATCAGTCGCACAGAGACTAGTAGAACGACGTAAATCGTGTTGCACCGACAAAGACAAGGGAGACCGGAATGGCCGGAATCTCAAGTGATCCACACATGGGTTTTGGTATGACTGGCAGATGACGGTTAATAAGCCACGAATGGCCATTCCAGACTCCATGTCTTTGTCTGTAATAATATTCTGCATATAAAAAAATATAAATGTATATATATATATATATATTGAAGAAGATTGTAAGGCGAGCTCTGGGGATGATGATTTATTCATCTGACGTTTCACACTCATACTCGAGCGCATCATCGGAGATAGGAGATATTAGAAAATTACACGGTTTAAATAGGTCCCTCTCGCTCTCGCCTGATAGGGCCGTCAACTTCTATCCTCATTGGGCCTCCCCTGGTGCGTAGCTGGTGTTTGGCGGCCTCGTATGGTGCCGGTAGTTCGACGCAGCGGTTGATGGAGTTGGTGTCTGATTTCCAGGCCTCGATTATTTCTCGCGCCAGTCTGTTTTCCGCTCGACCGAGCACTTGGGCGCCGTCAAATTCAAACCGGTGGTCATTATCCAGACTGTGCATGGCAACGTGTGAGCGCGCATCTTTCCGCTTGACGGCTAAGGTGTGCTCATGTATGCGCGTTTTAAGTCGTTTGTTTGTCATGCCGCAATAGTTGGCCTGACAGTCTAGGCAGTTGACGCGGTAAATGACACCGGACATGTCCTCAGGGGGCAGCCTACCCTTTGGCTGCATGACTAATCGGCGGATGGTGGCTTCCGGTCGGTGTCCAACGCCCACGTTAAGTGGTCTTAGCATACGCTCAGTGGCCTCAGAGACGTTCCTCATGTAGGGCAAGACACGGAGTACCTCAGGTTTTTGTTTCGCCTCACCGTAAGTCTTTGTGTGTCTTTGGAACAGATATTTGTTTACGAAGCTACGTGGGTATCCATTGACAATGAAGAGGTGCCACAGGGACGCACGCTCTTGTAGCTTCTCGGCCTCTGTGCTGCAGTGCGTGTTGATGCGGCGGAAAAGTGTCCGGACGCAACTGCGTTTATGCGACAGCGGATGGTTGCTGTTGTAGTGGAGTATTTTCTCTGTGTTTGTAGCTTTTCGGAAACCACCGGTCTGGAGGGTTCCATCTTCCTGCCTCGTTACCCGCCCGTCGAAGAAAGAGAGCGTTCCGTACTTTTCTTCCTCCATTGTGAATTGGATTTGTGGGAAGATGGAGTTTAATTCTCCTCTGAATGCCTCCTTCGCATCTCGGTTTGACTTTGACGGCGCCAAAGTGCTCGGTCGAGCGGAAAACAGACTGGCGCGAGAAATAATCGAGGCCTGGAAAACAGACACCAACTCCATCAACCGCTGCGTCGAACTACCGGCAAAATACGAGGCCGCCAAACACCACCTACGCACCAGGGGAGGCCCAATGAGGATAGAAGTTGACGGCCCTATCAGGCGAGAGCGAGAGGGACCTATTTAAACCGTGTAAATTTCTAATATTTCCTACGACCGATGATGCGCTCGAGTATGAGTGTGAAAAGTCAAATGAATAAATCATCATCCCCAGAGCTCGCCCTAAAATCCTTTTCAATTTCAACACCTGGGGTCAGCATTTTCGCCTACAACTATATATATATATTATGACAGTGGGCGTTCGCCGATCAGGTTACGGAACATGCTCGTTCCGTTGTGCCTTGGGGCTCATACTTAAACCCTAGCAGGCAGTCGCACAGCGACTAGTAGTAGACATAGATGAGATGATACCGACAAAGACAAGGGAGACCGGAATGGCCATTTCTGGCTTATTAGCCGTCATCAGCCAGTCATACCCAACCCCAAGTGTGGATCACTTGAGATTCGAACCCGGGATCTTTGGTCATGGAGTTGAACGCTCTACCATTGAGCCACGGGCCCGTTGTCCTGTCGGTTGTGATCGGGAATATTAATAATGACAGTGGGCGCTCGCCGATCAGGTTACGGAACATGCTCGTTCCGTTGTGCCTTGGGGCTCATACTTAAACCCTCGCGGGCAGTCGCACAGCGACTAGTAGTAGAAATAGATGAGATGATACCGACAAAGACAAGGGAGACCGGAATGGCCATTTCTGGCTTATTAGCCGTCATCAGCCAGTCATACCCAACCCCAAGTGTGGATCACTTGAGATTCGAACCCGGGATCTTTGGTCATGGAGTTGAACGCTCTACCATTGAGCCACGGGCCCGTTGTCCTGTCGGTTGTGATCGGGAATATTAATAATGACAGTGGGCGCTCGCCGATCAGGTTACGGAACATGCTCGTTCCGTTGTGCCTTGGGGCTCATACTTAAACCCTAGCAGGCAGTCGCACAGCGACTAGTAGTAGACATAGATGAGATGATACCGACAAAGACAAGGGAGACCGGAATGGCCATTTCTGGCTTATTAGCCGTCATCAGCCAGTTATACCCAACCCCAAGTGTGGACAACTTGAGATTCGAACCCGGGATCTTTGGTCATGGAGTTGAACGCTCTACCATTGAGCCACGGGCCCGTTGTCCTGTCGGTTGTGATCGGGAATATTAATTATGACATTGGGCGATCGCCGATCAGGTTACGGAACATGCTCGTTCCGTTGTGCCTTGGGGCTCATACTTAAACCCTCGCAGGCAGTCGCACAGCGACTAGTAGTAGACATAGATGAGATGATACCGACAAAGACAAGGGAGACCGGAATGGCCATTTCTGGCTTATTAGCCGTCATCAGCCAGTCATACCCAACCCCAAGTGTGGATCACTTGAGATTCGAACACGGGATCTTATGTCATGGAGTTGAACGCTCTACCATTGAGCCACGGGCCCGTTGTCCTGTCGGTTGTGATCGGGAATATTAATAACGACAGTGGGCGCTCGCCGATCAGGTTACGGAACATGCCCGTTCCGTTGTCCCTTGGGGCTCATACTTAAACCCTCGAAGGCAGTCGCACAGCGACTAGTAGTAGACATAGATGAGATGATACCGACAAAGACAAGGGAGACCGGAATGGCCATTTCTGGCTTATTAGCCGTCATCAGCCAGTCATACCCAACCCCAAGTGTGGATCACTTGAGATTCGAACCCGGGATCTTTGGTCATGGAGTTGAACGCTCTACCATTGAGCCACGGGCCCGTTGTCCTGTCGGTTGTGATCGGGAATATTAATAATGACAGTGGACGCTCGCCGATCCGGTTACGGAACATGCCCGTTCCGTTGTGCCTTGGGGCTCATACTTAAACCCTCGCAGGCAGTCGCACAGCGACTAGTAGTAGACATAGATGAGATGATACCGACAAAGACAAGGGAGACCGGAATGGCCATTTCTGGCTTATTAGCCGTCATCAGCCAGTCATACCCAACCCCAAGTGTGGATCACTTGAGATTCAAACCCGGGATCTTTGGTCATGGAGTTGAACGCTCTACCATTGAGCCACGGGCCCGTTGTCCTGTCGGTTGTGATCGGGAATATTAATAATGACAGTGGGCGCTCGCCGATCACGTTACGGTACATGCTCGTTCCGTTGTGCCTTGGGGCTCATACTTAAAACCTCGCAGGCAGTCGCACAGCGACTAGTAGTAGACATAGATGAGATGATACCGACAAAGACAAGGGAGACCGGAATGGCCATTTCTGGCTTATTAGCCGTCATCAGCCAGTCATACCCAACCCCAAGTGTGGATCACTTGAGATTCGAACACGGGATCTTTGGTCATGGATTTGAACGCTCTGCCATTGAGCCACGGGCCCGTTGTCCTGTCGGTTGTGATCGGGAATATGAATTATGACAGTGGGCGCTCGCCGATCAGGTTACGGAACATGCTCGTTCCGTTGTGCCTTGGGGCTCATACTTAAACCCTCGCAGGCAGTCGCACAGCGACTAGTAGTAGACATAGATGAGATGATACCGACAAAGACAAGGGAGACCGGAATGGCCATTTCTGGCTTATTAGCCGTCATCAGCCAGTCATACCCAACCCCAAGTGTGGATCACATGCGATTCGAACCCGGGATATTTGGTCATGGATTTGAACGCTCTGCCATTGAGCCACGGGCCCGTTGTCCTGTCGGTTGTGATCGGGAATATGAATTATGACAGTGGGCGCTCGCCGATCAGGTTACGGAACATGCTCGTTCCGTTGTGCCGTGGGGCTCATACTTAAACCCTCGCAGGCAGTCGCACAGCGACTAGTAGTAGACATAGATGAGATGATACCGACAAAGACAAGGGAGACCGGAATGGCCATTTCTGGCTTATTAGCCGTCATCAGCCAGTCATACCCAACCCCAAGAGTGGATCACTTGAGTCTCCGCCGGCCTCTTTGGCGGGGTGGGGGCAAATTCGCCACCATCATCAGCGCCTACGCTCCGACGATGACCAACCCTGACGCCGTCAGAGACAAATTCTACGAGGACCTGCACGTACTCTTGGCGACTGTGCCGAAGGCGGACAAGTTGATTGTCCTTGGCGACTTTAACTCCCGCGTCCGCACAGACCATACTGCCTGGAGAGGAGTGCTGGGTCCCCACGGTCTCCGCGGCTCAAACGACAATGGTCTGCTGCTGCTCCGCACCTGCGCAGAACACCACCTTATCCTGATGAACACGTTCTTCTGTCTGCCGGAGCGAGAGAAGGTCGCGTCCGTGGCACCTGCTGGACTATGTCCTCGTCCGAAGGCGTGACCAGCGGGACGTGCTGATGACGAAGGCGATCGCGTGTGCTGACGTGTGGACCGACCATCGCCTCGTCATCTCGAAGATGCGTATTCGCCTAGAGCCTCACAGGAGACCTCAAGGTAAGCGAATCCCAGGTAAGCTGAATGTTGCATTGTTGTCTTTGTCAGCCCACCATCTCCATTTCAGCAATGAGCTAGTTCAACAGCTAGACAACCTCCCCGTCGCCGATGCCGCCGCTGCCGATAACGCCTCCGCGAAGAACCGCTGGTGTCAACTGCGAGACACGGTCCAGTCGACGGCGCTCGCCGTCTTCGGTGGCGCTCCCCGCCAACGCCAGAACTAGTTCGACGACAACGACGCCGCCATCAGAAATCTGCTTACTGAGAAGAACCGCCAACACAAAGCCTACGTAGATCACCCCACTTACGATAACAAAGTTGCTTTCTACCGCAGTCGCCGCCAACTGCAGCAACGTCTGCGCGAGATGCAGGGCGCCTGCACTGTTCGTAAAGCTGAGGAGATCAAAGGCTACGCGGACCGCAACGAATGGCTGAACTTCTTCTCTGCGATCAAAGCTGTCTACGGTCCGCCGACAAAGGGCACTGCTCCTCACCTCATCGCCGACGTCAGTACTCTCCTGACTGAGAAGACGCAAATCCTGCGGCGATGGGCCGAGCATTTTTGAGGCGTCCTCAACCGCCCTTCCGCCATCTCCGACGCCGCCATCGCGCGTTTGCCGCAAGTGGAGACCAACGCGGACCTAGACCTCCCGCCATCTCTCGAGGAAACCATCAGGGTCGTGCAGCAGCTCTCTAGCGGGAAAGCACTAGGATCGGACGCGATCCCTGCTGAGGTCTACAAGCATGGAGGTCCCCAACTCATGGATCACCTGACTGCGCTCCTCCAGGAGATGCGGCGTCAAGGCGAAGTCCAGCAAGACTTCAACGACGCAATAATCGTGCAACTATACAAGCGAAAAGGGAATCGACAAATATGCGACAATCACCGCGGCATCTCCTCGCTGAACATCGTCGGGAAGATCTTCGCTCGCATCCTTCTCAACCGCCTCAATAACCATCTCGAACAGGGTCTACTGCCGGAAAACCAATGCGGCTTCCGTCGTCATCGTGGGACCACGGATATGATCTTCGCCGCCCGCCAACTTCAGGAGAAGTGTCAGGAGATGCGGACCCACCTGAACGCCCCGGGATCCGCATAGCCTACAGGACGGACGGTCACCTGCTGAATCAACGGCGGATGCACTTCCAATCGCGCGTATCCACAACCACCGTTCACGAACTCCTCTTCGCCGACGACTGCGCCCTGAACACCACCTCGGAAGTGGAGATGCAACAGAGCATGGACCTGTTCTCCGCCGCCTGCGAGAACTTCGGTCTGGTCAGTAGCACGCAGAAGACGGTGGTGATGCAACAACCGCCACCCAGCTCAGCCACAGTCCCCAACGCGCCGTCGCAAATCAGCGTGAATGGGACCCAACTTCAAGTGGTAAAGAACTTCCCGAACCTGGGCAGTACTCTCTCCCGCAACACCAAGATTGATGACGAAGTCGCCAACAAGATCTCGAAAGCCAGCTTAGCCTTCGGTCGTCTTCAAAACACAGTTTGGAATCGTCACGGTCTTCAACTGAACACGGAGCTGAAGATGTACAGGGCCGTCATCCTGCCGACGCTACTGTATTGAGCAGAGACCTGGACGGTGTTCGTGAGGCAGGCACGCCGTCTGAACCGCTTCCACCTCAGCTGTCTTCGTTGCATCCTGCGGCTGAACTGGCAGGATCGCATCACCGAAACTGATGTGCTAGAACGGACGGAAATACTCAGCATCTACTCCATGTTGAGACAAATGCAGCTGCGCTGAAGCGGCCACCTGGTGCGAATGGACGTCGAACGACTACCCAAACGGCTCTTCTACGGAGACGTTGCGACGGGTTCTCGTCGTCCAGGAGGCCCAATTCGTCGATACAGGGATACCCTGAAGTCCGCCCTGAAGCTACTGCAAATTTACCCGACCAACTGGGAAGAGCTCACCTGCGATCGTCCGACATGGAGGAGAACAGTGAAGACGGGCGCTGCTATCCACGAAGCCAACCGCATCGCCGCCGCCAAAGCGAAACGGGAAGCCCGCAAATCCCAACTGCGCCCAATCAGCAACGCCGCCGCACAACCTCTTCCAACGTATCCTCGATGTCAGCGGACATTCCGGGCTCGAAATGGCCTTGTTAGACATCTTCGGATCAACTGTACCTCTCGAACTGCACCAAAATTCATCCCCCCGCCTGCCTCATCCTCGTCCTTTCTGCTGCCAACTAACTCTGACAATTCTCCTGCATCACCACTTCCATCCTCCTCCTCCTCCATCGCCGCCGCCGCCGCCGCCGCCACCGCCGCCA